GATGGACAATCCAGAGTCTAACACCGGAGCCGCTGTGCCCCGCTGCCCGCGTGTTACAGACACTGCTGGCCCCACCTGAGAGCCGGAAGTAGAGCAAGTGGCAGGCAAAGAGAGGGGCTGTGACCAGCGCCAGCTGTGAGCCTCAGGCCCCGGCCCTGCTCCCACCGAAGCCCGGCTCCCTCCAGTGTGACTTGTTCTAGGACCTGCTTTTCTTGCCTCCTGGCATACCAGAAACTTCTTTCCACGCCATCTTTGTTGCTGAATCTCCGTGGCCGCGTCTGCCAGGTGGAGCCTGCAGAGACCAGGTTGGCTCTCGCCCGTGTTCAGCGCCCACACCTGCCCACGTCACGGGAGGAGGCTGGGACGCAGCAACAGGCAGGGGCTCCGTGGCTCCCGAGCCACTTGTGTTTCCGTCGCCACTCAGAAGGGGCTGAGTGGCGCTCCGAGGACATGATTGCGGGGCTGTGGGGGCAGGGCAAGGCCCCCTCCCGGGGTACCCACCCTGCCAGCTGGCTAGGGACACACGGGGGAAGCAGTGGGCGTGCAGGACGCTGCAGGCTGAGAAGGCGCTGGCCCCGGGAGGAGCTTCAGACGGTTATTTTAAGGGGTTGCCTCACCTTCGTTTGCCACCAGACCCGGTGCTTTTCTGCAGCCACAACTCAGAAGATGCGACTCTGGGGACTGTGGAGGCAGGTGTGCTGGCCCCCGAGGCACGCAGCCCCACACCTGGCTCCCGAGGCCACTGGGCCTGCCCCTCTCCTCGGGAGCAGCTGGCAGATCTGCAGGCCGTGGGCGCTCTCAGGAGGGCGCTGGGTACAGGGAAACCATATGCTTGGTGTTATGGGCTGGCCAGCCAGCAGCAGGCTATAAAAAGAGAGGCTTCTTCTAAGAACTTAAACGCAAAAACGTGCAGGAAGTCCCGGGTAGCGCCGTGTGCAGCCAGATGTTCCCGCATCTAGGAACCGGGGGGTATGCCTGGGCCTGAGGAGGGGCCTGGGTGGGAGTGGGCCCTGGTCAAGGCCGACTGCCTGCAGCACAGAGAAGTCACCCAGGGCCCGGGGACCTGGGCCCACGCCCGGCTCTTGGCTTGCTCTGTGGCTGATTAAGCCAGTTCATCCCTGAGCCTCGCTCTCCCCTCGTATCAAAGGAGTCAGCAGAGGGAAGAAGGTCACCCCAGATGGGGAAGCAGGGCAAGTCCTGGCTGGAAGAGGACAGGAGGAGACACAGAGTCGGGAGCCCTGGAGTCTCAGAGCACGGGCCAGCTCTGGGGGACACACTGTGGACACAGTGGAGTTCTTGCAACTGCGCCCCCCACACCTCAGCACAGGCTGTCCAGACTCCAGGAAATACTTTTCCTAGTTCAGAATGCTCACAGCCAGCCTGCCCCACACAGCCCAGTGAAATGGCCCCTCTTCCAGGATGTCTTCCCAGATTTTCCCAGTTGGACTTGCCTCTCCCATCTCTACACTCAGTCACCTGGAGACTCCCCGCACTGCTCAGCCCTGCCCACCTGTCAGAGTCACCCCTGCGAGGGTCCCCTCGAGGATACACCATCGGTGCGTCCCAGCAGGCGTGGTGGTCAGTGCTGACCCGAGCTGTGCCGTCTGCATGTTCAGCGGCACTGACAGAGCACCCATTACGGGCCAGGCCCTTCAGCAGAGTGGGGGACACAGTCGCTGATGCCAAGGAGATCCTGCCCTGCTGAACCCACATTTGAGTGGAGGTTGGCAGACAACAGACGTGAAGTCCATGAACGTGTGATTCTAAACAAATCAGCCCAGAGGCCGGACGGGGCGCAGTTGGCAGAGGTGATACTTAGGGTGACGTGAAAGGAGGTGATTTCTGAACCTGAGGGCAAACGGAGGCGCATGTGGGATGACTTCGGGGAAGTGAGTCCGGGCAGAGCCACTGCACACGTGCTGAGTGGAGAGAACTGGGGGTGACCTGTGTGTCCTGGGAAGCTTAAGCGACGGCAGGGAAGAGGGCCCCGGAAGGACTGAGGTGGGCAGCGTCTGGGTGACCTCACTAAGACGTGGGGATTTTTTGAAAGGGGGTGGCTGGAAAGCCCTCTCTGGCCAGTGTGTGACATGGACGCTGCGGACAAGAGAAGGACACGTGGCCCCCGTGTCCAGCAGGCAGCTGTGTTGTGGTTCCCTGGTGCTTGCTAGTGGGAGTTAAGAACTTACTTAAATGTTTCAGGTTTGAAGTATCAAGCAGTCACATTCCCATGTTCTGAGTTCAGCAGAGGGGCGGGAGGTTTAAATTCTGGAGTTAGTAGCAGTTACGTGCAAAGATCAGGAGCCAAGAAAAGATGGTGCATTGCGAGGATGCAGAGGTGGGGGCCAGGGCTGAGGCCCGGTCCCCAAGCACAGCCGGGGCTTGAAAGCACACAGGAAAGGATCCGCCCTCAAGGCAGGGAGACCGAGGCAAGTCTGGGGCCGACGAGGAGTCTCTCCAGAAATCATCCCCATTACCTCCACCACCATCACCATCCTCACCACCATCGATACCAGCACCGCCGTCCCCACCCACACGGGTGACACAGGCAGCTGTGCCCTGACGTGCCGCGCAGAGCTGCACTTGTTCCCCGACTCCTCCCAACTCACGAGCCGGCAAACACTCTCCAATTTCAGGGGTGGAATCAGCAACAATCAGTAGATTTTCAAAGCAATGAACAGCGTGGCCGGCCTAGGCCCTTCCTGTGCAAACTGGTCCCGACCAGCGGCAGCCACCTGCGTGGGGAGGCCTGCACGCCATCGCCTCCGACAGGCAGATCTGTCGCGCCCCCACGAGCTGCAGGATGCCGGCTGTCTGCGAGCCTGTCCACCCCAGGGTCCAGCTCCACCCACAGCATCGCTGGAACCCAGTGGCCGCAGCTGGGCCAATTACAGTGAGTCACCATCTCCGTGGGGAAGCGCCAGGGAGCGCGGCTGGTGGTGAGGAGCGGCAGACCCGGGCGGCGCCCAGGATGGAGCGGCCACAGCAGCTGGCGGCTGGTGCTTGGCGTTCACCTGGTCTCGCGCCCACGCCTGCCGCCAGGGGCCCTCCCCAAACACGGCCGGCCCACGCCAGCGCAGACGCACAGCTTTCTCCCAGCAGTTCAGAGGCGCCCAGCATTGCCTTCGCGCCTCCATCACTTTCTTAAAAATAACCATTTGACGCAGACGTCAAAGAGAAAGAGGCTGAGCTCATGCCCTCTTGAGAGCTGCTGAATGGAAGCATGCAGGAGGCTCCCTGCTGCCCCGTCCTCTTGGGGGTGACAGGACACGCTTTGGAAATAAAAAGAAAATCCATGTCCAGCTCCTTTGTGGAGATCTGGGGGGAGGTGGGGCCTGGGTGGTCAAAGGCTGATCACCCTTTAATGACTCTCCTCTCCCCACGCCGGCCCCAAGGACCTGCTTCCCAGGACCCCGCCCTGCACAGCCTGCCCGCAAGGCCTCCCCACTCGGCGCCCCGGCGCTCCTGTCCCTAAGTCCCGGGCGCACCTCTGCAGACGGAGACGCCGCAGATTGAAAACAGAATCTCACACTATCCAGTTATTCACTTCCGGAGGGTTACCCCAAAATACAAAAGCACTAACTAAACGTGCACCCCCGTTTTAGTGCTGCATTATCTACAGAAGCCAGGGTGTGGGCTGAGTGCCAGCGGGGTCAGGAGCCCAGCGAGGCGGCGGCGTGAAGACAGGGCTCGCCCCGCCCCGCGTCCTCACACTCCACTGCGGCAGGGCAAGGTCAGGACCCCGGAAAGAAAGACGACGCCTGCAGGGCACAGTGAGAGCCGGGGGCTGGCAGGGAGGGCAGAGGCTCAGAGGGAACCATGTGTGTGTGGAGACTCCGGGAATGGCCAGGCCCCACGCAGCATGACCACCGGCAGGCTGTTCGCACACAGTGGGCAGGCCCCGCTCCACAGCAGCCCCTCCAAGCCTTCATCCAGTCATCGAACCCACGCCCGAAAGGACACCCCGCTGGCAGGCTGGGGGCGCCCATCAGCTGCTTCCACCTCCCGTCAGCCCCGTCAGGCCCTGAGGCTCCTGGGGTGCCTGCCCAACAGAAGAGCACCCTCGGGCAGAGAGGCGCCTGCACCCAGCCCCACGTCCCAGGGCCGCGGGGCTCACCCACCTGGAGGCTGGCTGCTGGCAGCACTGCCCCTCCCGGGCCTCCCCCACCCCGCCCCGTGCCCACGCGCCCCTCGCTCGGCCCACCCTGCTCCTTGGGCATGAAGTCACAGTCAGGACGTGGTCAGTGTGTGGGCGCAGCCACAGGCCTAAGACCCCAGGTCCACTGTGACAGACACTGGGGCTCCGAGCTCAAGGGTTGGGGGGTCCAGAGACCTCGTATCCCCACACCTCACCCGGCGGGCCACCTGCCTCTCAACCCCAGGCCCGGGACTCACCTTCTCTGCTGCGCTCCACCACTGCGCGCTGCCGCTGCCCGCAGGCTCCCGCGTCCCTTTCCCCGCCTCACAGCTGGGCTGGTGCCCAACACCGTCCACGAGGTCTCTGAGGTGGCCAAGGCTTCCCTGAGCGCTCCCCGTGTGCGGGCGCGGGGCTGAGCACCATGCAGGGCGCTGGCATCTGACCTGAGCCCCGGCTTTAACCAGCAGCCTCACTGCCCGCGCCCACCCGCGGAAAGAGAGCGAAGCTCTCGCGTCCACCTGTGCTGGGGCCTCTGCCAGTGATTGGGGCTTAGAAATGACCAGTAGTGCATGCGCTGACCCCGCAGGCCCGCCAGGTCCGCTCACTGCCCAGGCCCACGGGGGTCAGCGCACGCAGGGCTCTCACTCCAGGGCCGTGTGTACTGCACGTGTGGTGGTGAGCGTGACATGACCACGGGCGCTAGATGGCAGCCGGGCCGGTCGCCGCGAGGGGTGGCGCAGAGGACCTGGCCAGACCCTGGTGCTCGCCTCTCCCGACTGGCTTGGACCCTGCGGGGCGTGGTGGGCGGGGCCGCGCAGCTGGGCTCTGGGGCCTCGGTCTGACGCTTCCTCCCTCTGGCCTGCAGGTCGCTGTCCGGCCGCATCGTCGGGGGCGTCTGGTGGTTCTTCACCCTGATCATCATCTCCTCATACACAGCCAACCTGGCCGCCTTCCTGACGGTGGAGAGGATGGTGTCCCCCATCGAGAGCGCCGAGGACCTGGCCAAGCAGACAGAGATCGCCTACGGGACCCTGGAGGCAGGATCCACCAAGGAGTTCTTCCGGGTAGGCGTCCCCGCCCGCACTTCCAGGGGCGCCACGTCACCAGCGTCCGTCTGGGCAGCACAGCGGCGAGCAGCCGGGCACAGGTCAGGGGAGTGGGGCCATTTCTCAGCCCCCAGGTTTCCCGGAGAAACCGCACCTGTGCACCAGGGACTCCACAGCCCCCCACCAGCCCGACCCTGGCCCTGAGGGTGCACAGGGTCACAGGGTGCGCCCCCACTCTGAGCCCCTCTGGGACCTGGTGAGTCAGGGGATGATGTATGGGACCTGATAACCTGACCATGTCGTGTGCAAAATGGCCGGAGCGGGTGGGGATGCTGCAGGCGGGGTTCAGGGGAGGGCACACAGGATCCCTGGGTCAGCTGGATCCAGGGCCAGCACTCCTCTGGGGCACGCAGCTGCTTGGACACCATTTCCATAAAAGGGGCAAACAGTGTCTCCCAGAGAGTCGTGGTGAGAGGAAAGACAGGCACCACGAGGCACCAGAGGGCAAAGGGCAGGGCTGAGGCCGTGTCGCCCAGGGTTTCCGGGAACCCCGAAGGGTGGGGTCACCGCCTGGGACAGAGCATGCAGGGCCAGGTTGGGCCCGGCCAGAAGTCGCCGAGGCAAGGGAACAAACCCCCCAGACCTGTGCGGTCTGGGCTCCCTGGTGGGAGACCATGAAGCCTCAGGCTGCCCGCAATCCTCGGGAGCAGCTTCCATTCACTCTCCCTGGAGACCCAGAATCCTCTTGGCCCAAGTATCTCGGACCGTCTGGACCCAAACAACCGGAGGGGTCATTAGTACTTGGCCAACAGCCAACGAGGCCTGCCGGGGAGTGACCTGCCAGGCACGTGCACGGGGGCACACACTGCGTGTTGTGGGGAAGTCGCCCTCACACGCACCTGTCACCTGCACGCTGACCGTGCACGGAGCCCAGCGGCAACTGGGGGGCACTGCCGACGTGGACGGCGTGTCCAGCACCCGGCCCAGGTCCGCCTGCCCCTGGGGGAGGGGACCCCCTTGGGGAGGAGCACGTGGGAGAGGGCTGACCACGGGCCTGGGTGTGAGCCTTCTCTGGGCAGGGTCAGCCTCTCGGGACCTCCGCGGTGACTCAGCGGCCGGCACCCAGCGAGGCTCTGGCACGGTGGGGGCACCCAGCAGGCAGGCGGAGCGATGCCTCTGGGGACAGGGCAGCTCCGGCCAAGAGCAGGGCCCAGTGTTCCGGCCTCTGCACCGGACTCCGGAGCTCACTGAGGCCTGAGCATTGCTCTGGGAATGGAGAGGCCTCAGAATGTTCTGGACTCTGACCAGGGGTCGTGGCCGGTGAGCAGAGCACGTGGAGCACGTCACCGCAGCGAGGTCCATGTGCCCTGCCCAGGAGCTGGTGGGGGGCGGGGGCGATGGGGGCAGGACAGCCACACCCAGGGCCCCAAGGCCCCTGCCCCAGCAGGCAGCACTTACACGGTGAGGCCGGGCCTTCCCAGACGGCCCCAAGCTCCTCAGGGCTGCCCCAGCAATGCAGTCACGCCGGGGACGAGCTGCCCAGCCACCTCCACACGGCCACAGGCGGGAGGGACCCCAGTTCCGTCCCTCTCCCCACACGTACGAGAAGGAATGACTGCGGTGGCTAAGCAGCTCCGAGCTGTCCTGTCCTCTCTGCGTCTGCCAGGGGTCCCCCGCAGACCTTGCGCGAGCCCCCGCTGCCCGTGCTGGCCCTCACCGCCGCGCTGCCCTGTCTCCCGCCAGCGGTCTAAGATCGCCGTGTTCGAGAAGATGTGGACGTACATGAAGTCGGCGGAGCCGTCCGTGTTCGTGCGGACCACGGAGGAGGGCATGATCCGCGTGCGCAAGTCCAAGGGCAAGTACGCCTACCTGCTGGAGTCCACCATGAACGAGTACATCGAGCAGCGCCGGCCCTGCGACACCATGAAGGTGGGAGGTAACCTGGACTCCAAAGGCTACGGCATCGCCACGCCCAAGGGCTCCGCCCTGAGGTAAGCGCCCGGGGCCGCCCGGCTCCCTCCCGTGCGGAGCCCCCACGCAGGACCTGCGGCCCGCCCCGAGACGTCAGCCCCGAGGTGGGACGCGCCCGGCTCGGCCCGCGGCCTCGCTGTCCCTGTGCCGGCCCCGGCTCCCCGTGCTGCCCGCGAGACCGCGTCCTGTCTGTGACCGCCCACCGTCCTTCATCAGACCCACCCGCCCGGCCCGCGGCTCTCTGGCTCTCGCGGGTGGTTGCGCGCGTCGGCCTCCGAGAAACACCAGCACGCTGTCCACGTGGAAAATCAAAAGGGGGGGACCCCGAGACGCAGGCTGGGGCCCCGTCCCAGAGCAGGCGCTTGGCAAGAAAGAGGCGACTGGCCAGGGCCCGAGCAGGCCTCGGGGCACTCAGCACCCCCGTCCACTCGGTCAGTCCTGCAGACATGCAGCCGGGAGGCCAGGACCCGCTGCTGGGATTTACACACCACACATACACACTCACACACACACACATTTACTCACACACTCCCGACACACACCCCCGGCAGGCTGCCACCACCCCTGCCCCCACGCCGAGGCAGAGCCAGCCTCCCGATGCCCTGGACACAGGCAGAGCGTGGCCCGCCAGGGACGCCCACCCCGGGGAGACCCAGGCAGGCCTTGGGAGCGTGAGGAGCGGGCGCCCCAGAGGGGCCGACATGCACCTGGCAGTGACCCCGCCCCCGCTAAGTTAGGATGGTCTTCGCGTTCTGTGGGTCACAGAAATAGTTTTTGAAACTGCTCAGCCCTGTTCACAAGCGGCCACCTCTTCCCCAGCGTGACCCAGACATAAGTCCTCTCCGTTAGTCTCCAGGCCGCGCCACCGACTTCTCTCTGCCTGAATGGGGGGCTCTATGGGCTCCCAGGGGGACAGGCTCCTGTGTCCCGCCAAGTACTCCCCACCTCTTGACCCTCCAGAGTCAGGCCCGCACTGTGGGCCCTGTGGCCCAGACCTCGCCCCCAGAACACACACAGCTTCTGCACACGGGCGCCCCGCCTTGGCAGGCCGGAGGACTGGTGTCCAGGCCGGGTGTCCCCTGAGCTGGGCCGCAGCCCCGATGGCCAGAGGCTGTGCAGCAGCCGGAGGCCCCTGGTCTCACCCGCGGCAGGAACAAACCCGCAGACGGGCAGGGGTCGGACGCTGATTTTCCATCAGGACAGCGGTGCCTCTCGGAAGCAGACGCTGCCCCGGGGTCTCTGCATGCCTGGGGTGGGCGAGGGCTGCGTGTGTTTGCGAACCCCGAGGCTGTGATGCAGACCTTCCCGGCCAGTGCCGCGACTGGGGCAGCGGGAGACGCGCGATCAGGCCTCTCCCCTCAGCCTCCGGCCGGATGCACCCCTGGGCAGACGCGCTGTCTTCTCTCGAGGACGAGCGCCCTCCCGTGAGACACGTGTCTTCACGTTTTCTAAGCGGGAAGGTGGCCCCAGTTTACCAGCCCACAAAGGAACCACTCCAATTGGCCTGAGCGAAAATCTCAGCGACGCTTCTCGTCACACACCCCTGCCCGCGAGGCGCCCCTGGGCTGCAGGCCCCCGTCGGGCACTGGCGTGAGCTGGTCTTTGCCTGTCAGTGCTCCCTGAGGTCGTGCCGTCCTCGCCATCTGTCTGTCTTGTCCGTGCCAGACGTGTGAGCCAAGGGGCCCGGGCCAGGGGCCAGGGCTGCTTCCTGCTACGTGAGGGGCCCGGGGCTGGGAGGGCGGAGGGGTCTGGTCCCCACTCCCAGCCTTGCTCGCAGAACCTCCCCGGGTCTCCTCTTTGGGGGCAGAGGTGAGATCTCGGGGGCTGCCCCAGGCCCGCAGTCAGGGCCTTGCGGGAGGGCTGGACCTCTGCGCGGGCCTGTGGCTGAGCCACGACCCAGACAGGCCCTGGAGGAGCACAGGGCTCACGTGAGGGAACTCCAGAGGGCGCTCAGGGAGTGAGGGGGGAGCAGCACTGCCCTCGTCTCCTGTTGCGGCTGCGTCAGCGGGAGCAGGGTCAGGGCACGCAGGCCCCAGAGCCCGACCCTCAGGAGCTGCGGCATGAAAGGGAGGAGGGACAAGGGCAGGGGGCCCCAGCGCGCGGCTGTGGTCACCTCAGAAGGAAGGGACAATGGGCCGGGCGCAGCCAGCCAGCGGTCAGGGGCACGGGCTGGGTGTATGCCCCCTACCAGCTCCGGCCTTTGCTTGAGGACATGGTGGGCAGGGACACGCAGGGGACGAGCGCCGCAGACCTCTGTGTCCCTGCCTGACGCCAACCAGGTTGCACTGATTCCAGCCAGGTCAGAAAATGGGCAGGTAGTGAGTCACCTCCCAAAGGGAATCACTGCCCACTCCTCAGCGTGGCCCCAGGGCACCTAGAAGGTCGAGAAGGCATTGCCGGGAGGGGACAGAGCAGGAAGGACAGAGCCGCCAAGCCGCCTCTTCCTCTGCTCGGAAGGAATCGAGCCATTCCGGGTGAACCCAGGCCCCAGGGCAGCGCATGTCCCTCTCCCTGCACGCCTGGGACACGCACTAAGCCTGCCCGTCCTGCTGGTCAGGAGGGAGGGCATCAGGGCCAGGGTGGTGGGCAGGCTCCCACTGGCAGGATGGGGCCTGGGGCGGCAGCCCCCACACTAGGCCAGTCACGTGAGTGCATCCACGCTGCTCCGAGGCCTTGCCTGGACGTTCTCAACGCACTGAGCTCTCGGTGGGCAGCACCTCGCCTGCCCCAGAGCGTGATGGGAAACACATGTGCTACCCGTGCGGCGCTCAGTCGCTGCTCACACAACAGCTCCCCAGCTCAGCGGGGTGCCAGGCCCTCTGGGAGCTGATTTCAAGTGCCCCCCCCCAGCCTCGGACCCAGATGACCAGTTCTGCAGGTCCAGGGGGCCCTGGTGTGGGGTCACCTGGATTCAACAGCCCAGGAGGTGTGGGGAGCAGCAGAAAGGCTGGCGGGATGGAACCCGGCAGGGAGGCAGGCTGGCGCCCAATAGCCTCAGGTCAAGTCAAGGCCGCCCCAACATTGGTGTGGCCTGGTTGCTGAGTGGCCGACCTTTAGGAGCTGCGCTCTTCACTTCCAGTCAGAGTCACAGCTACTTGTGCAGCTACTTGGGGCATAAGTGACCATTAGTGTCTCACCTCCCTCGGCCCCCCCGACCCTCGCGTCCCCCCAGAAAGTCACTTTGAGTCAAATGCCTTATAAAGCAACTGTTTTCCTCAGAGATGCACATGAGCCCCGCCCTCCCCCCCACACCGCTGCTTAGCAATGAAATGTCTCCCGAGAACAGTCCGTGGTCCTCCCCCACAGAGGACACGCTGGGAAAATGAAGCCCTGGCACTTTGATCTCCCTCCCTCCCCACCCTCGCCATGGTGGATGGCCGCCGCCACTGAGAATAAACACCGTGTCCCAGGGACATGGAGTCCCTTCCAATCGGCCCCTGCGTCCTGACGGGCAGCCAGGACAGTCGTCGCCATGGTAACCCATGAACTCTGCGGCCCGGGCGGGGCCTGATCAGAGACCAGGGCCAATGAGCAGAAGTGGCCTCCCGCGTCCTCTGACAGGCAGGAGAGATCAGTCCCGTGCCCACCCTGCCCACACTGACAGCCGCGAGATCTTGGGAAAAGGTGGGGTGGAGCCAAGTCAGGGCTGTGAGCCCCGCAGAGAGATTCCACCTGAGGGTTCCTGTGACTCGTGACTGGAGGCCCCGTGGTGGAGACCAAGGCTGGATAATCCCATCCCATAGCCTCCTCCTCCCGGGGAAAGGGGTGAAGGCGGCGAGCCCCAGCCCGGGGGGTGGCGGCAGGAGCCGGCCAGGCAGGAGGCCACACGCGTGACTTATGCCTCCTCACCGCGGCCAGCAGGAAAGACCACAATGGCCTCCTCGCAGTCTCCACTCCCTGGAAATGAACTCCCTGGCGCCTCAAGAACGTCACAGCAGGCTCGTGCTGGCTACAAACCCAGAGCTGTCCTGTCTTCCTCGCTCCAGCCCAGCCAGCGGGGCGTCCCGGGGAGCCTGGGGGCTGAGCACAGGGAGCACCCGCTGCCTGCAGGGTGACTGGCTCCGACCAGCCAAGCGCATGGACATGGTGACCGGAGGAGCCGGGACCACCAGGACAGGACGCGCCGGTCCAGCGCTCAGAGCTCCCGACCAAGTCAGACCCGCCCTCCCACCTGCCTCCAGCCAGCACAGCCACCGCCCAGATCGACGGATGCCACCTTGCCCTTGCCGCCCTGCACCCAGGTCAGGACGCCCAGCGTGCTGAGGGGAGCAGCCCTAAGGGAGACAAGGTGACAGCAGAGGTGCGTGATGACACCAAGGTCCATCGCCGGGAGCCCCCAGGAGCGGGCAGAGGAAGAGCAGGAGAACGCTGTGCCGCCCTGGGGTCCCACAGCAGCGGGTGAGGACGCTGGGCCGCCTCCGCCTACGCACACAAGCGGACCATGGAAACGGCCGATGTCAGCGTTTACTGGGCGCGCCCTCCATGCATGCGGCAGGGCCCTCTCAGCCCCGCACTCTCTAACTCACGTACTCCTCAGGAGAGGGAAGTCACTGAAAAACCTTAATTCACAGACAATGACTCGGCTACACAGAGAAGCAGGTGAGCGCTGAGCTCGGGTAGAACAGAGCTCACGCCCGCAGCCCCCGCGGCCCCTGCTGCCCTCCGCCCCCTGCGCTCTGCTGCGGGCGGGCCTGGCAGCTCCCGGGCGTCCCGGGAACAGGCCTCGGCGAACAGGCCAGGGCTGCCCGCAGAGCGCCGCTCGGCCCGCCTGAATATTGTCACGTGCAGAAGTTGCCGGGTCTTCTGCGTTCCGAAAGAATTAGAAATTTCAATTTTTGTGACAACTACTCCAATTTTTGAGTGGCAGTCACAGGCAGCTACAAACTAGTGACAACTGAACCTAACACAGAGAGGGGCCTGCCACAGTGACGGGTGGTGGACGGATGGACGGATGGAAGGTGGACGGATGGTGGAAGGTGGACGGATGAACGGGCAGGCGGGCAGATGGGCGGGTGGTGAT